GAATCCCATCTAAGATGACAATGTGAAATACTCTATAACATTTTAATGGGCTCACTGTAAGTGAATTAGAAACATTCAAGTGAATTTACTTTAAAATATATTTGGGTGACCCACCTAAGAATCTTGATGGATGAATGGATAAAGATAATGTAGCATAGACCTGGCTGTTAGAGTGCCGGTCCATGGGCCAAAGAGTCCCAGTTAAGGGCATGTAGGTTTGCAGGTTTGATCCTCAGCCTGGGTCAGGGCAAGTGTGGTAAGCAACCAATTGATCTGTCTCTCTCACATCGATGTTTCTCTCTCTCCCTCTTTCCTCCCTCATCCCTCCCTTAAAAAAAAAAAGAAAATGTGGTGTACATATAATGGAAAATTATCAGTCATAAAAAAGAAGGAAATCCTGTCATTTGTGACACAATAATGGGTAAACCTTGAAGGTATTAAGCTAAGTGAAATAAGTAACACACACAAAAAAGACAAATACTATACTATCTCACTTATATGTGAAATCTAGAAAAAATTGCTCATAGGAACAGAAAACACATTAGTGGTTACCGGAGGCAGGGGGTGAGGGTGGGAAAAGGTGGGAACCTTTAAAAAGGTTCAAACGTCCAGTTAATAAGATAACTTAGCCCTGAGAGGTAATGCACAACCTAGGACTGTAGTTAACAATACTATATTGTATATTTGAAAATTGCCAGGAGAATCCCTATTTTAAAAAGTTCATATATCCAGTTCACAGGATATATGTATAGGTATGTAACGGGGTCAATGCATCACATGTTAAAGCCACATTTTGAAAGCCTGTGGACAGAGAAGATCTGGTTTTAACACAACATCCAAAGTGCTTCAGGTCACATTAACTATGAATCTTAAGGCAAGTCACGCTGTGGGGGTAAATGCTATCATCGGAGGCGGGACTTGAGCAGGGTTCCACAGACCTCGTGCTGACCATTCTGACACATGACCTTTCTTTGACAGGCTCCAGGAAACATGGAAAATGGTTGGTGAGCACAACCGCAGGAGAATGGAGATGTTCCAGTAGTTTCCATATTGACGAAAAGCAGCACATACGATAGTCTCTGCTGTTGGTGATGATGACGTCAGCACAACAGTGACACTGATGCCAAAATGATTGAATTATATCAGGCATGACATGAGTGCCTCAGACTTCTCCACAGGTGACCAATAGTTTAACATTACTTGAAAGCTTCCCTACCAAAGGTGAGATATAGAAATATTTTTCTTTTGAAAATTACATTGGTAAAATATAAAAATTCAAAAACTCTCATCTGAGCGAATAACTATTCATAGCTTTTACTGCCTTTTTATTAAAAAAAAAAAAATTTCCAGTTTGTAGATCTTTGATGTGATCATCCTGTTTGTAAGTACCCGCTTCTGTTTGTTTTCTAATCATCTGCCTTCTTGGGAACATGCCATGGTTGTTTTTTTTTTATACATATCTGTGCATGTGCCCGGGTACGCATATGTGCATGCACAACACGCACACACACACACCATGCCCTATATAGTCAGCACGCCCTTATTATCAAACTCTCTTCCTCTGGTTCCTGGCAAGTGTCTTCTTGTCTCAGATTTTTTTTTTTTTTCCATTTAAACTATGTACCTCCCTCCCCGGGCCTTTAATTCATACTTTTATGTTTCTTGAATCGTTCCTTTGACCTCAGAGACTAACACTGTCCTAGTACCATGGTCGGCTGTGGCTTGAGAGCCACATGCGGCTCTTTGGCCCCTTGAGTGTGGCTCTTCCACAAAATACCGCAGCCTGGGCAAGTCTATTTTGAAGTTGGGTTAGAAGAAGTTTAAGTTAAAAAAATTTGGCTCTCAAAAGAAATTTCAATTGTTATACTGCTGATATTTGACTCTGTGGACTAATGAGTTTGCCGACCACTGTCCTAGTAGATCCTGAAGCGTCTCCCTTTAGTCAGACTTCTCACTTATGTCTGTGCCATGGAAATGACAACTGATTCACAAAAACTTTATTGTTACAGTTAATCAGTCAGGAAGAGCGGACCATCGTCAATGAGATTATTGTTTGGTCCTTGAGTTACACTCAACTTCCAGTATGTTCGGCTCCCTCGGCAGGAGCTGGCTAGAAGGTGGCCGTGTGGTTGTTTTTCATCTGTGATGGGCCTTCGGCTCACTCCAGAACAAGTCTCTCGTCCTTGCTTTTCTTTATTCCTTCCTTCTCCTACACAGCATCTTTCAATTCAGCAGCACTCCATATTTTATTGCTCTATTTAAATTTAACATTGTTTAAGCTTTCAACTTGAGCACAATCAGTATTTGGGATCAAGTAGATAACCGTTGGCTATTCAAACATCAACTACTAACTATCCTGGGAAGAAAGTGACTTTTGGAAGCAAAGGGTGATATTCAGCTGGTGAGACACAAGGACACCCAACCAGAAGGAGCCTTTGCAGTGCCAGGGCTTAAGGGCTTAGCACCTTAGTTGCTGCATTGTGGGGGAGCTGGTGTGTCCTAGGGCAGTGGCCAGGGAGGTAGAATGTAGTTGAACTTAGGGAGCTCAGGGCAAGGTTTTTTTTAACCAGCTCAGAAGTACTTCAGCCATGACAGTTCTGACAGTGGCCCCGCTGAGTACCATCCTGCAGCAAGGTTCATTGTGTTCTAATAGCTTGGACCTGTCTCTCTTGAATAGTATGTGTTTAACATGAAGAGGAAAGGCGAACTTGCAACCGACTTGCAGGAAAAACCATATTGCAGATATTTCCTAGTTTACTAGTTTATAGCCTTCAACAGTTTCTCAGCCTTATCAAGGTTATCACACATTGCTTAAAATAGGGTGACCTCCAAGCCTGTCTATTAAACTTGAACCCACTGCATCCCAATTTTGGTTGCCTATGATTAGAGTTTTTGATTGGCAGATCCCCAGCCATGCTGAGGGGACTCACTTTGGCCGCCGTCACCACCTGCGAACCATTGCTGATGCTCAGGTGGCTGCTCTCTTGCTACGAATACCAGGGAGGCCTCTGCCCCACCCCCATGTGCACACACACACAGCTCCAGCTCTTCCCTGGGACTGCTCTCTGCTCCTGTTCCCAATGCAGGAACCCCAGGAGCCTCCGGCCTCGCACTAAGTCTTAACCATGTTTACCCCAGGGGACTCCTTGGACAGGCTGCTGAAGACCACGGACCCCTTTTCAGAACAAGGCTTTTAAATGCACAAAAGACATGAAAAACAATTATATTGAAATACATTTAACACCACGTTTAAAAATTTGTACTATAGCAATACACATACTTTAATATATACACATATATTTCATTTATTTGTTTATTTATTTCAGAGGGGAAAGGAGAGGAAGAGATAGAAACATCAATGATGAGAGAGAATCATCGATAGGCTGCTTCCTGCAGGCCCCACACTGGGGCTCGAGCCTGCAACCTGGGCATGTACCCTGACTGGGAATTGAACCATGACCTCCTGCTTCATAGGTCACACTGCCTTGCCAGCCCAGCAGTACACATACTTTTTAATTAACATCTGACGTAAGATCTAGCTGAGGGCATACTTAATAACTGTGATGTGATGTGATGTGATGTGATGTGATTTGATGTGATTGTGATGTGATATGATGTGATGTAAAGAACCTGTGGGTTCCACTGGAGACTCCTTGGGAGTTATAGATACTTACCCTACAGTCACTGTGGGATATCCTTCCTTCATAATGAAAGGAAATGCTAAATGTCAGAGGTTTAAAAAAATGTAAATTTTTTTGTTACCCAAATTCACTTGAATTTTCTCTCCCCAGGTTAAGAACCACTACAGGATAAAGGCGCGCCAGGAATCAACATCTCAATGGAGGCCCCAGCCCAAGTCCGAACCTTTAGGCCACCCACACAGAGCTCAGCACTGCCTCTGGGGGAAAGTTCTTACAACTAGTCCTGGGAATTGGGGGGTAGGGAGGAGGCGTTGCTGAGCTTCGCGGGTACCCTTGAAACAAACCCTCCTTTATTGTGCATGGGGCTTCTCGGCCTCAGCACACCTGGAGACCAAGTTTTCAGTTGCTGACACCACTGTGGCTTCTTCCAGGAGCTCTGGCCAAGGCTGGGCTTCCGTTTTCTCGTCTGGCAGAAAGAAAACACCCTGCCTCCCAGGAGGGTTAAGAGGAGTCCATGAGATAACAGCTGCGAGCTGTACGTGGTGCAGCATTATCAAAGTGTGTGCCAGTATCCTTTTTGAGAACAATCTATGCAGCTCTCTTCCCCCGAGTCTCTGGCGGCATGCGGTATGCGCTCCACAAACACTTGTGCAGAAGCAGACACTTGTAGAAAGAAAGAATGAATGAAGGAATGGGTGAAGCCTGCATTTGCACGTGGGCCTCGGTCTGCAAGAACACGCTGCTCCGGGCGCCTCGGGCCGGCGCCTCACCCACCCTCTCCTTTCCTAACAGGTAGCAAACGCCGCCCTGGCCCTGCGCCCGAGCGGCAACCACAGTTCACGTGCTTATTTCCAGGGGGGTACCCCCCTCCCCACCCCCCGTCCCCCGGATGGGGCTGCTCGGCCCCGAGCTCGTCCTCTGCCTCTCGCGCCGCAGCTTCCGGGCCGGGTCCGGGGCGCCGGGCGGCGGGGGGCGGCCCGGAGGGGACCGCACGCCGGGCGGCGGGGAAGGTGCGGGCGGCGGGCAGGGCGGGCGCGGGGAGGGCGGAGGGCGGGGCGGGGCGGGGCGGGGCCGGGGCCTCGTCACCGGATAAAACGCTGCGAGTCTCCAGAGAACAACGGGCTCATTGAGCGGAGGGAGCCGCCGGCGTGGGGGAGCGGCCTGGCGGAGAGCGCGACTCGTCCCGGCCCGGGGGTGGGGCCGCCGGAGACCGGAGCACACGCAGGGCGCCGCGGTAGCTGCAGCGCCGCAGCCTCGAACCCGGACCCGAGCGCCGGGCGCCCGCGCACCTCGCAGCTCGCAGTTCCCAGCTCCCAGCTCCCAGCTCCCGCTCCGGTCCCGGGGCGCCGACCTCCCCCGATGGCGGCCGCGGGGCGGCTGTGGCTGCTCTACCTGTCGGCGGGGCTGCTGCCCCGGCTCGGCGCCGCCTTCAACTTGGACACCCGCGAGGACAATGTGATCCGGAAAACCGGGGACCCCGGGAGCCTTTTCGGCTTCTCGCTGGCCATGCACCGGCAGCTGCACCCCGAGGACAAGCGGCTGTGAGTGCACTGATCTTCCCGCACCCTCCTTCCCCCACCCCTCACCCCCACCCCACCCCCGCACGGGGCACCCCGGCCCGGAGCGGAGCCTCCCTGCGTGCAGCCCGGGCGGGGGGGGAGAACCGAGGGTCGCCCCCTGCGGACCGCGGCCCGGGGCCAGGAGGGTCTGATTTGCTCTGAGAGTTTTACTTTCCCCCCCTTCTTTTCCCCCTTAAACGCGTACTTTGCGGTGGTCCTTCCTTCCAGGCATGTTTGCTGGGAACCCGGCAGGTGGCACGCTTCGCCGAGCTTCACGTGTGTGTGTGTGTGTGTGTGTGTGTGTGTGTGTGTGTGTGTGTGTCGGGCGGGGAGGGCGGGGGTGACTTGGGCTGCAGGTCGCAGATCTGCTGCAGGGGGAAGTTTCCTGGGAGTGTCTGCTCCGGGGAGATCCAGGCCTTTTCCCAACGCACAGAGCGCCCCGGCCCCCCGCAGACTCGCGATCCCCGCAGAAGTTGGAAAGTCGCTTTTTGCATCGTGTCCCGTGTGGCTTTCCCCGCGGGGCGGGTGCTTCTGCACGAGATACTTGAACTCCCCCTCCCTAATAAAATAAAAGAAATGATGGGACTAACCCAGCACCTGCTCGAGGGACCACTTCTGCAGAGAAAACAAGCCCCTCCGAATGGTGTGCTCGCCCCCCCCCCCCCCGCCCCCAAACCATGCCCCTAGCCCAGGCCCCAAAGCGCCCGGCGGCACCCGCGACCCTTTGGGCGCCTGCACTGGGCAGGCCCAGCCCAGGGGCGAAAGCAACATGTCCGATCCGGGCTGGCGCTTTGTAAAGCCAGGTTTGGAAGTGACAGCCCCTTCACCATAGCACAAGCCGGCGCCTCCCCGGAGAAAGTGGAGACCCGCACTCTCAGCCTCGCTTTTGTGTTTGGTTCCCATATGATCAAGCTGTTTAGGTTGGAGAGAGGGGTGTTTGGGAGCTTAGTCGACTTAATCGCAGTGGGGCTGCATTCTTGACCTGTGCTACCTCCCCCGCCCCCCAACTCCCTGCGACTTTAGTTGAATTGAGGTTCTTCCAGGACCAACAGAGCGGAGAAAGCAAAGTGCAGGCACAGCCAAGAGAGGACTTTGTGTTCATGAGAGGCGAATGGAATTTTTAGATTTGGATTTCAGCAATTAAAGAACGTGGGAATAGGTGAATATTGTGGGCCCCTGAATCTTTGATTTTTTTTTTTTAAACACCTGCTAGTTAAGTAAAGGAATTAGTTGGGGGTGGGGAGGCCGCTGGCCAGTGGTCTGCCCGCTTGGCCAGCTGCTTCTGTCTGCTTTGGAAAGGATTGTTAAGCTGTAAATCTGAAGTGAAAGGTGGTGTCTGTTAAGTCAGTTAATGGAGGGCGGTTAGCGTGTCTGCACACTTAGGAGTGCCTAGATGTGCACCTACCCATACGGGGAGTTTGAACTTGTTAGTGCAGAGATGGCTGGGCCAGCGGAGGGAATCCACTGTCCTTGGCATTTTCTCTCTGCAGTCAGATGCCCACTGGAACTGGTGGCTTCCCTGAGGTACTTGTTCAAGCAAACGTTTCGAAGGGGAAGTGCTGGGGCAAGAACATGTCCTTGGGATGGGAGATGTGCAAGACACACACACACACACACACACACACACACACACACAAAAACAAAACAACAACAACAAAAAAACTGATTGTAGCCAGGAATCTCTGTTGTCACCAAGGTTAGCAGCATGCTTGCTACAACTTGTTACTGCTGTGGACTTCTTGGCTGTTAGAGCTGCGGCAAGTCCTCCCTTGGGGTCAGAATAAGCCGCTGGGGTGTGATACCCTCTAGAAATCTCTTCTTAGGGGTTAACGGAGGGACTGATCAGACCCTCAGATGGGGGGACAGGCCCACTTTAAGGAGACTGGATGTTTCCCTAGAGCCTGGAGTATGGCAGTGACCACACTGTAGGCCAGTGGTCGGCAAACTCATTAGTCAACAGCCAATATCAACAGGACAACGATTGAAATGTCTTTTGAGAGCCACAGTTTTTAAACTTAAACTTCTTCTAACGCCACTTCTTCAAAAATAGACTCGTCCAGGCCATGGCATTTTGTGGAAGGGCCACATTCAAGGGGCCAAAGAGCCGCATGTGGCTCGAGAGCCGCAGTTTGCCGACCACGGTTCTAGGGGGCTGGGTGTATGTCAAATGCCACTCCCTTTTGGTCAAGTATTTCAGCTCCAGGAGCAGCATTGCCCTCTGAGAGGAACGTGCACACACAGGCCATACCCACATCTGTTGTCAACTTTGTCAGTAAAGGATGTGGGTGTAAGTATCAGCCAGTGAGGTCTAGACCCCACTGGCCCAGCTTCCTAAACTTTGCACTTTCTGGACAAGCTCAGTGAGGAGTGTTTCTGGTGGCGAGACCTGAGCTCAAACTTGTTCTCAGTCAGTTAGTAGCTGTTGTATTACTTTGAGCCTTAGTTTCTTTATCTGTAAAACGGAGATAGTACTGTTTAGGGTTGTTGTGAGGTTAAGAGATAACATGTTTACTTGCTGATTAAATGGTGCTAAACATAGAAACAGTAATTGAATTCCTACTATGTGCCAGCTACTATACAGAGGTTGAGCATTCTGTGATTCTAAGACTTCCCAAGAGTAAAAAGCCAAAAGTTATTGTAATTTGGGCAACTGATGTTTTAAACTCTTGAGTCACATTTTTGAAACCCATGTTCAAAACAATTTAACTTTTAATCCGGCTTTAATTACATTTATAACAAGAGAAAATTTAGTGAACAAGGGACTTTGAGTTAGGAGAAGTAAAATATCAAAGATGTGTGGAAACATAAGATGAATGCCCTTCTCTAGGAACCACGATAGATTTTTCTGGGTTAAATTTTCTATAATGCCGTTTGACTATTTAGTAACAACTTAAACTCTAGTTAAGATTTTATACTAGAATAATACTGTATCTGAGAGCCGTAAAACATATTGTGCATTCCTCAAACGTTCAACAATATAACACTGAATTAGAGACTCTAAAACACTACTCAGGTTTTTAGGCTGTATATTAAAGAAGTTTCAGACTTCAAAATATTTATAAGTTTGGCTGAGTTACTGAGGCCAGGGTCTGAAAGTCTTGGAATCTTTCATTTCTCTAGGTAGTTAAGGCTGAGTCACACACCGCCACTCCCATCTCCCACCCTCGCAGGTGGAAAGCATGGGAAGACAGCTGTGGGTATGCCCATCCTGTGAATCATCACGCTTAGCTCTTCTGGGAAGATTATACAGATCTATGTATGGCTGCAGGGCAGAACCCAGAAGAGAGAGAGCTATAGGAGATCCTCCCATGGGATAATTCTGGATTTACTCCGTTTTCTTTTTGGGAACTTTCTGATCACCACCATCTTCCGTAGGCTGCCAGGCCTGTCACTCTCTTCAGACTCTGTGGTGCTTGTTCTTATTTTTCCGAGTTGTGATGCCTCCACTTAAAAAAATCATGTTTCTTGGACTAGGGATTATCTAGTCCGACTGGCTTTCTTTGTAGATGAAGAAACTGAAGCCGAAAGCTAAAAAAAAAATGTCTAAATTCTGCATAAGCAGAATCTTAACAGGATTTGGATTTGACCCTGACATTTCTGACACGTGCAAATGCCATCTTTAAAAGGAAAAATCAGAAATGCCCTTCAGACCGAAATAAATTGGCTAGCATCTGAGCTTTGGGAATGCACTATGTTAGGTTGATTTATTAAACTGCTTCCCACATGGGTCACGGCTGCCTATTTAAATATTTGTGCTTGGACTGGCTTCCTCTTGGCCCTTATTCCAACTGGCCTTGGATCAGCTTCTGGGTCCCTCTTCCTTTGCCTGTCATCTCCCCCTTTCTGGAAAAGAAAAGCCCAGTGAGTAGTGACTAGCTAGCCGGGGATCAGAATTTCTTCAGGATGTGTACCTAAGCCCTTGCTTCCTTGAATTCATTCAGAGTGCCATGTGGCCCAAGGCCATCATCCAGGCTCTGTGACTGTGCTCACAGAGTCCTGAGAGTCGACACGGACACGGACAGGGACACTTAGAGATCATAGGGCTCTGCAAGAATGCAGAAATAAACAAGTTTAACTTTTACTCAAGCAGTTTACATGTATCCACCTGAAGACAAGGTTGCGATGAGGACCAGAGAATTCACTTGGTCTGAATACTTCGTTGGGAAAATCAGGCTCCATGCTTATATAGATTTCTCCACTATTGTAAAGAAGCCATTATACTATTTTTAGCTGCATAAATCTCTATTTTAAGCATAACAATAATATTAATTTAATTTAAGCTCTTATAACCAAATAGTACTGGAATTATGGCATATGGCACCTTTAGGACCTTGGGTCAATAAACTACAGTGGGCAGAGTTGGCCAGCCTGTTACTTGGCACTTGCAAGAGGGACAGTGGAGACATAATAGAAAATACTATTGTGTGTAGATGACAGGGTCAGTTTTACCTGGAACACTGATTGGTTCCAAGTCTGCCCATCTTACAGAATATAGTCATATCTCAAGAACCAGTTTAGATTTCTCATTGGAAGTCTTTTTCGCCCAACCTACACTTCAGCAATTTCTTCTTCCTTTGAATGTCTACAGCACTTACTGTCAGGTGTCTGACAGTTCTGATGGTTTTCTGTTTAATTGTTACCTGCCTTTTCAGAGGATGATCCATTCTCTCCCAACTGGGTTATAAGTTAGGTAAAGGCAGGGATCTTTTTTTTTTTTTTTTTAATCCTCATTCGAGGATATTTTTCCATTGATTTTTTTTTTTTTTTTTTCAGAGAGAGTGGAAGGGACGGGGAGACACACACACAGAGGAATATTGATGTGTGAGAGAGAGACATCAATTGGTTGCCTCCCATATTCACTGGCTGCTCATCAGGGCAACCTGGGAAATCTCTTTGCAAATTCTAGGCTCAGCCCAGCTCTATGGCGCTAGATGTGGTCAGTTTCTGTAGATGTGATCCAAGAATCTGTTCTTAAAGTTTTC